AACATAGTTTTGGAAGTTTTAGCCACAGCAATCAGAGAAGAAAAAGAAATAAAAGGAATCCAAATTGGAAAAGAAGAAGTAAAACTGCCACTGCTTGCAGATGACATGATACTATACATAGAAAATCCTCAAGATGCCGCCAGAAAACTACTAGACCTAATCAACGAATTTGGTAAAGTAGCAAGATACAAAAGTAATGCATAGAAATCTCTTGCATTCCTATATACTAACAATGAAAAATCAGAAAGAGATATCAAGGAAACACTCCCATTTACCACTGCAACAAAATGAGTAAAATACCTAGGAATAAACCTACCTAAGGAGGCAAAAGACCTGTATGCAGAAAACTATAAGACAGTGATGAAAGAAATCAAAGACGATATAAACAGATGGAAAGATATACCATGTTCTTGGATTGGAAGAATCAACATTGTGAAAAGGAATACTACCCAAAGCAATCTACAGATTCAATGCAATCCCTATCAAATTAGCAATGGCATTTTTCACAGAACTAAAACAAAAAATTTCACAATTTGTATGGAAACACAAAAGACCCCAAATAGCCAAAGCAATCTTGAGAAAGAAAAACAGAGCTGGAGGAATCAGGCTCCCTGACTTCAGACTATACTACAAAGCAACAGTAATCAAGACAGTATGGTACTGGCACAAAAACAGAAATATAGATCAATGGAACAGGATACAAAGCCCAGAGATAAACCCATGTACATATGGTCACCTTATCTTTGATAGTGGAGGCAAGAATATACAGTGGAGAAAAGACAGCCTCTTCAATAAGTGGTGCTGGGAAAACTGGACAGCTACATGTAAAAGAATGAAATTAGAACACTCCCTACAACCATACACAAAAATAAACTCAAAATGGATTAAAGGCCTAAATGTAAGGCCAGACACTATCAAAATCTTAGAGGAAAACATAGGCAGAACACTGTATGACATAAATCACAGCAAGATCCTTTTTGACCCACCTCCTAGAGAAATGCAAATAAAAACAAAAGTAAACAAATGGGACCTAATGAAACTTAAAAGCTTTTGCACAGCAAAGGAAACCATAAGCAAGACCAAAAGACGACCCTTAGAATGGGAGAATATATTTGCAAATGAAGCAACTGACAAAGGATTAATCTCCAAAATATACAAGCAGCTCATGTAGCTCAATATCAAAAAACAAACAACACAATCCAAAAATGGGCGGAAGACCTAAAGAGACATTTCTCCAAAGAAGATATATAGATTTCCAGCAAACACATGAAAGAATGCTCAACATCACTAATCATTAGAGAAATGCAAATCAAAACTACAATGAGGTATCCCCTCACACTGGTCAGAATGGGCATCATCAAAAAATCTACAAACAATAAATGCCGGAGAGGGTGTGGAGAAAAGGGAATCCTCCTGCACTGCTGGTTGTAATGTAAATTGATACACCCACTATGGAGAACAGTATGGAGGTTCCTTAAAAAACTAAAAATAGAACAATCCCACTACTGGGCATATACCTTGAGAAAACCATAATTAAAGAAGATGCATATACCACAATGTTCACTGAAGCACTATTTACAATTTCTAGGACATGGAAATAACCTAAATGTACATCGACAGATGAATGGATAAAGAAGATGGTGCACATACATACAATGGAATATTACTCAGCCATAAAAGGAACGAAATTGAATTATTTGTAATGAGGTGGATGGACCTAGGGTCTGTCATACAGAGTGAAGTAAGTCAGAAAGAGAAAAACAAATACCACATGCTAACACACATATGGAATCTAAAAAACGGTACTGATGAACCTAGTGGCAGGGCAGGAGTAAAAATGCGGACGTAGAGAACGGACTTGAGCACACAGTGGAGGAAGGGTAAGCTGGGACGAAGTGAGAGTGGCATGGACATATATACACTACCAAATGTAAAACCGACAGGTAGTGGGAAGAAGCCGCATAGCACAGGGAGATGAGCTCCGTGCTTTGTGACCACCTAGAGGGTTAAAATAGGGAGGGTGGGAGGGAGCGTCAAGAGGGAGGGGATATGGGGATATATGTATACGTATAGCTGATTCACTTTGTTGTACTACAGAAACTAACACAACATTGTAAGGCAATTATACTCCAATAAAGATATTAAAAAAATAAAATTTATTTTATTCATGTACAAATGATTTACAGTGTTGTGTTAATTTCTGTACGGCAAAGTGATTCAGTTACACACACACACACACACACACACACACACACAGTCTTTTCCATTATGGTTTATCACAGGATATTGAATATAGTTCCCTGTGCTCTACAGTAGGACCTTGTTGTTTATCCATTCTATATATGATAGTTTGCAACTGCTAATCTCAAACTCCCAATCCATTCCTCCCTAGGCTGGTTTTGAATAACATAGTGATATTCATCAAGAACATAATATTAAAAGTAAATTTGTGTCGCTTCTTTTCTGCACCTTCTTGGGACCTGTTTGTGGAGCAGGAATTCAGGAAATCTGTTTTCCATCACCCTGACAACCATCCCTCTCTGCTCCCACCACACCAGGGGCCAAGGGATTAAGGTACACAAATATGTTGTTTCAAAAATACACGGATGGAAAATAGTTTTGTTTTTCTAAAATCTTGCTGTATGACATTCAAAATTCAAAATAATTTTGAAGCATTATGGTTAATTCACCTGCAATCTTGCAAAAGAGCATTTTGTTAAAGTGTATAAATCTATGTAGGGGGTCTGTGACCAGCTGTGATTACGATCTGTCAAAAGCAGCCCTCTGTCTTCTCACAGTGATTGCTAACTTACGCAAAGGATTCTATACAAACACAAATAGTAAACTAAAAAAAATCAAATAAAGTAAAATGAAATTCATATGAAAATCAGATGATGCATGAGTGTGTGTGTATGTGGGGTATGTCTATATGTGATAGATTTCTTTTTATTATCTGTTTAAGTAGACAATAGTGAGATTTGGGAGCAAAGAGAGAGTTCATTTACTATTGAGCAAAGAATTTTACAGAACAAGATATGACACTGTGACTAGAGGACATTACTTTAGGAAATAAAATATGTTTGTAAATTAAAATTGCCGGGCTTCATGGCATTTAGAGATATCATCTATTGCAGCCAAATGATGCTGGAGGCGAGAGTTGTTGCCTGAAGTGTAAAGATCTCTGTGAAAGGAAAAAAAAATGGTGCTTCTCATTTACTCAGTGAGGGTTTAAGAAACATTTGGTGCCAAAGGTATTTTTAAAATACTTTTAGCTTGATTAAATAAAATGTCCTTCACAAAGTTGTCTCAGTGACAATTAGATGAACTAAAAGCAATGTGCACCGCAATCATCAACAAAACTAACAATTTAAGTTTACGGTTCTAGGGAAATGAATTGTAATAACCACTCCTTCCTACTATTAAATCCGGTTAATTCAACCTCAAGACAAAGCCATGAGTTCTCAAAACTCTCAGACAACCACCTCGGTTTCCCTTGAGAAGGCTTTCCCACTTTTCGTGGTGATTATATTAAAAATGATAAAAGTGTGAGAACCTTTGGGGAAACAGGGGTGATTCCTGGCCCTTTGCAGAAAAGGAACCATCAGCGGTTCCCTAAATTGACCTCTCTTCTGCCCCATATGTGACATAATGCACTTAAGTCACTCCTGTGTAGAGCACCTGAAGTTTTTCATTCATACTTCTTATATTAATCATTGCATTCAGATAAATGGGGGGAAAATCATGTAAGGAAAGGCAGGAGCCTTGGAGTAGGAGGATAGAAAAGACCATATGCCAGGCACTGCTGCACAAATATTAACTCACTTAACCCTCGATACTTCTCTGGAAGGAAAGTTACTATTATCATCCCCAGTTTTGCATTTGAGGAAACAGACACACAGAGAGCCTAATTAATTTGCCTAAGGTTTCAAAACTAGAAAAGAATTGAACTGAGATTCAACTCCAAAGTGCATAATCTTATTTATTTTGCTTCACTATTGCTGAGGAAATTAAGTAAAAATGGCATGCACCTACAGACAAGGTGGTAGGTTAGGGTTAGGGTCAGGATTGCAGAAACCAACTGCAGAAAACAAGATATCTCGAGGTCTTATTTCTTCACATTACTGCAGGAAGTTTCAGGATTCTATAGACACTATGGAAGAACTATATTTTTAGAGACTGGCTGATGGTCCCTTGTGCCTAGTTTAAGAAAAGGTGGGCTTACCATAGTCCTTGCTTAAAAATGATTACGTCCCAGTTCTATATGCAAACAGAACATTTATTGCAAGTAGGTAAGCCAACTCATGGAAAAAGGCATCTTTGCTAGATCTTTCAGCATGTGAACTAATAACTGAAATGCTCTTTGAGGACTGCTATAAGTATTCAGGAATTAACACTCTAAGTGATGTCAAATGCCACTAAGTAATAGACCAGAGTTTTCAACTGTTTTGGAGGACTACAGTGGTTGAAAACCCTCCTTAAAGCACCCCTTAGCTCAGCTTCACCTCTATTTTTATATGTCTTACATGGTGCACTTCTGCACAAGCTTTTTTGTTTTTTGAAGAAATAGCTCTACTGCTTAAAATTATTTTTCTTACAATTGCCCTTACGTAGTATTCAATATTTTGTTTATTCGTTCACTTATTTGATCATTAGGCATTGGGAAACAAAGCGAAATATCACATAGCCCTTCCCTCAAGGAACTTGCAATTTTAGGGAAACTGATCCAGTTTGAGGGTCAAACTGAAAGTGAAATGAATTACTGATCTATGCACTTTTTTAAGGCAGTACAATCATACTCACTAGGCCAAGACTCTTTCAGGGTCACAAATTTTAACCCTGTGCTCATCATTGACAAAGGCGTCCCAATGGGAGCCACTAGATCCTATTAGTCCGGGAGAACTAAGAAAGGAAGAATTATATTTACTCAAAAGTGGGGCCAATACAAGAAGCAGAACACGGTTATTTTTCCGTAAACGTGTAAAAATGGTTCCATTTCTTACCTCTAGAGCCTTCAATCTTTCTAACAGCAATTTGGTCTTTTCTTTCCCCTCATCTGCACTGCTGCCTTCACTCCTTGAATCCTCATCTACCACCATGTGACGGTCTTCCAAAGCTTCCTTGTGTTTTCTCTCTTCCTCTGACAGTTTTTCCTGAAGCAAGAAAGAATTGTTGTTTTCAATAATCTCCACTGAAAAATAAGCAAGAGTTTAAGGTTGAGAAGTTTGGAACCTCCCTACTCTTTCTGCATTCTTTCCAGGGCTGAGGTAGAGAAGGTTTTGCTAAACAAATTCTGAGTGGGGCTTATATTAGTAAACACAGTAGATAATTTTAATGAATCTTGGTGGGACAAGTCATTGAGTCACCACCACTGAATGCACATGTCCTCTGCTCTGTTGGAGAAGTGACCGAGCCCATAAAAACGGTAGATGGAGTCATGTGGTTAATCCATTTTTATATGCAGCATGAAATTCAGCTGTGCTCTAAACTGGGGAAAAATAAGTCAACCTTGATACCTTGACTTGTGAACAGCTTAGCTCCTATAATAAGATCATCAAAGTCACTGGACATGCAACCATTCAATTAAGGGAAAAGAAAATATCACAAAATACTGAAATGATAACGATTTCAGAATTCTAAGCTGAAACCATTTAGTTCCTTTGGCTCACTAATAACATGGCTCTTAAGGGCCCTATAGTCCCCTTTCTAACACTCCAGGATTTGTACTATAGCCTTGAGGCAGACATAAAATGTTATCTTGTCTTCCCTCCCTGCTTGCTGGAGGTTCCTCACTCAACCTTGTCTCTGGCAGCTCTTTGGAAGTTGAGAAGTATTAATTTGAGCCTCACAATTGGCTCTTGTTTTCAAGGGAAAAAGAAATGTCAAGAGCCTATCACATGAAACTAAAATTTCATCCACTTTTGTACATACATCAAGATACCGTGCCGCAGAATCGGGTGACATCATTCCATCACACTTTTTAATTCTAACCACAATGCTGCAGAAATCTCTGTATTAAAAACAGCTGGTTGGCAACCATGTGGGCTAAACTGGATTATCAATGGTGAGAGGCTTCTTTATATTTACCATTAAACTAAGATCATTTGCAAATACAGAAGCACGAAAAATATGATTCTTAACCTTTAAGCACTTAAAAAATCTACTGAGAAAAGAATAGCGTAAGTGGGAAAAAAAAAACAGGTTTTCAAACTGTGTTCACAAAAGTACTTTGGAAGTCCTGAAATTATTTAACTTATTTTTTGAAAATAAGATATGAAGTAAAAACGTCAACATATATGTACACATATATAAGTATATATGTGTATGTATAGATATATAAAACACTGGAGACTACACAGAAACTTGACCCATGTTAATCTGTACAGACAAACAGGTGTTAATCTGTTTCCTACAGATTTCAAGATAAGATTCCATTTCTTTATAAGAATGTGCAACTGACTAGGCAGGTGATAGCTCTTTATGAAATCAGGCCTGGGCAAGTCCACATACAATGTACAGGTGTGTTCACTTCTGCAGCAGGTGTAAGTTCAGCCCAGGTTCAGGCTCAGCAAGTTTAATGTGCAGATCCTCAGGCTGGGACAAATATCCAGGTTATGACTGTATTTTTACAGCTTTGATTCTTTAAGGTTTGTTCACTCAACAGACTTTCATTTCCATGGTAAGAAACTTGAAATCGGCAAAGTTACCAACACAATTTTGAAATAAAGAGGTCCTTCTAGTTCTCTTTCAAGATTTGGGATCACTGTAATTAAACACTAACTTGGGACTGTAAAGCAAGCTTTTAAAAAATAGCACCTAGGGAGGGACCTTCAAGATGGCGGAGGAGTAAGACATGGAGATCACCTTCCTCCCCACAAATACATCAAAATACATCTACAAGTGGAACAACTCCTACAGAACACCTACTGAACGCTGGCAGAAGACCTCAGAGCTCCCAAAAGGCAAGAAACTCCCCACGTACCTGGGTAGGGCAAAAGAAAAAAGAATAAACAGAGACAGAAGAATAGGGACGGGACCTGCACCAGTGGGAGGGAGCTGTGAAGGAGGAAAGGTTTCCACACACTAGGAAGTCCCTTCGCGGGCGGAGACCGTGGGTGGCGGGGGAGCTTTGGGGCCGGAGAGCGCAGCCACAGGGGTGCAGAGGGCAGAGCGCAGAGATTCCCGCACAGAGGATCGGTGCTGACCGGCACTCACCAGCCCGAGAGGCTTCTCTACTCACCGGCCGGGGCGGGCGGGGCTGAGGCTCGGGCTTCAGTCGGAGCGCAGGGAGAGGACTGGGGTTGGCTGCGTGAACACAGCCTGAAAGGGGCTAGTGAGGCACGGCTAGCCGGGAGGGAGTCCGAGAAAAAGTCTGGAGCTGCCAAAGAGGCAGGAGACCATTGTTTCGGGGTGTGCGAGGAGAGGGGATTCAGAGCACCGCCTACATGAGCTCCAGAGACAGGCTCGAGTCGCAGCTATCAGCACGGACACCACAGACAGACATGACACGCTAAGGCTGCTTCCGCAGCCACCAAAAAGCCTGTGTGCAAGCACAGGTCACTCTCCACACCTCCCCTCACTGTAGCCTGTGCAGCCCGCCACTGCCAGGGTCCCGTGATCCAGGAACAACTTCCCCGGGAGACCACACGGCACCTCCGGCTGGTGCAACGTCACGCCGGCCTCTGCCGCCGCAGGCCCGCCCCGCATCCGCACCCCTCTCTCCCCCCGGCCTGAGTGAGCCAGAGCCCCCGAATCAGCGGATCCTTTAACCCCCTCCTGTCTGGGCGAAGAACAGACGCCCTCAGGCGACCTACACGCAGAGGCGGGGCCAAATCCAAAGCTGAACCCCAGGAGCTGTGCGAACAAAGAAGAGAAAGGGAAATCTCTCGCAGCAGCCTCAGGCACAGCAGATTAAATCTCCTCAATCAACTTGATGTACCCTGCATCTGTGAAATACCTGAATAGACAACGAATCACCCCAAAATTGAGGTGGTGGACTTTAGGGGCAACTATAGACTTGGGGTTTGCTTTCTGAATCTAATTTGTTTCTGGTTTTATGTTTATCTTAGTTTAGTATTTAAAGCTTATTATCATTGGTAGATTTGTTTATCGATTTGGTTGCTCTATTCCTTTTTTTAATATATATATTTTTCCTTTTTCTCTTTTCCTGAGTGTGTATGTGTATGCTTCTTTCTGTGATGTCGTCTGTATAGCTTTGCTTTTACAATTTGTCCTAGGGTTCTGTCTGTCCGTTTTTTTTTGTTTGTTTGTTTTTGTATAGTTTTTAGTGCTTGTTATTATTGCTGGATTTGTTTTTAGGTCTGGCTGCTCTCTTCTTTCTTTTTCTTATTAACATTTTAAATTTTTAATAATATATTTAAAAATTTTTTATTTTAATAACTATTTTCTGTTCCTTCTTCCTCCCTCCCACCTTCCCTCCCTCCCTCCATCCCTCCCTCTCTCTCTCTCTCCCTCTCTCTCTCTCTCTCTCTCTCTCTTTCTTTCTTTCTTTCTTTCTCCCTTTTCTTCTGAACCATGTGGCTGACAAGGTCGTGGTGCTCCGGCCGGGTGTCAGGCCTGTGCCTCTGAGGTGGGGGAACCGAGTTCAGGACACTGGTCCACCAGAGACCTCCCGGCTCCAAGTAATATCAAATGCCGAAAGCTCTCCCAGAGATCTCCACCTCAACACTAAGACCCAGCTCCACTCAATGATCAGCAAGCTACAGTGCTAGACACCCTGTGCCAAACAACTAGCAAAACAGGAACACAACCCCACCCATTAGCAGAGAGGCTGCCTAAAATCATAATAAGGTCACAGACGTCCCCAAACACAAAACCGGATGCAGTCCTGCCCACGAGAAAGACAAGATCCAGCCTCATCCACCAGAACACAGGCACTAGTCCCCTCCACCAGGAAACTTAACACAACCCACTGAACCAACCTCAGCCACTGTGGGCAGACACCAAAAACAACGGGAACTATGAATCTGCAGCCTGCGAAAAGGAGACCCCAAACACAGTAAGATAAGCAAAATGAGAAAATGGAGAAATACACAGCAGATTAAGCAGCAAGGTAAAAACACACCAGACCAAACAAATGAAGAGGAAATTGGCAGTCTACATAAAAAGAACTCAGAGTAATGTTAGTAAAGACGATTCAAAATCTTGGAAATAGAATGGAGAAAATTCAAGAAGCATTTAACAAGGACCTAGAAGAACTAAACAGCAAACAAACAATGATGAACAACACAATAAATGAAATATAAAATTCTCTAGAAGGAATCAATAGCAGAATAACTAAGGCAGAAGAACAGATAAGTGACCTGGAAAATAAAATAATGGAAATAACTACGGCAGGGCAGAATAAAGAAAAAAGAATGAAAAGAATTGAGGACAGTCTCAGAGACCTCTGGGACAACATTAAATGCAACAACATTCAAATTACAGGGGTCGCAGAAGAAGAAGAAAAAAAGAAAGGGTCTGAGAAAATATTTGAAGAGATTATAGTTGAAAACTTCCCTAGTATGGGAAAGGAAATAGTCAATCAAGTCCAGGAAGTGCAGAGAGTCCCATATAGGATAAATCCGATGAGAAACACGCCAAGACACATATTAATCAAACTATCAACAACAAAATACAAAGACAAAATATTAAAAGCAGCAAGGGAAAAGCAACAAATAACATACCAGGGAATCTCCATAAGGTTAACAGCTGATCTTTCAGCAGAAGCTCTGCAAGCCAGAAGGAAGTAGCAGGACATATTTAAGTGATGAAAGGGAAAAACCTACAACCAAGATTACTCTACCCAGCAAGGATCTCATTCAGATTTGACGGAGAAATCAAAACCTTTACAGACGAGTAAAAGTTAAGAGAATTCAGCACCACCAAACCAGCTTTACAAGAAATGCTAAAGGAACTTCTCTAGGCAGGAAACAAAAGAGGAGGAAAAGCCCTACAATAACAAACCCAAAACAATTAAGAAAATGGTATCAGGAACATACATATTGATAAATACCTTAAATGTAAATGGATTAAATGCTCCAACCAAAGACACAGACTGGTTGAATGGAAACAAAATCAAGACCTGTATATATGCTGTCTATAAGAGACCCACTTCAGACCAGGGACACATACAGCCTGAAAGTGAGGGGAT